TTTTTTTATCACAACAGTATTCTAGAAAAGTCTCTACTAATTTGAGCTTTTGAAACTTGCTGAAATGAGGAGACGATCTGACGCTCTGTCTGAATGAAGAGCTGCCTTGAGAGACTGAACTGATGACGTACATTCGTTTGCACAATGGAATCGAAATGAATTATTCTTTCGCGTCACTAGTTGCCACACAATGGGATCTCCTAATCTAAGTTGCAATGACGCGTACCGCAAAATTTTAAGGCTTCGATTTCATTACACGAAATGTCAACACACTGCTATTCTTCTTTGAAATGTTCTCTATAACTTCAGAAAGTTTTTTTTCATTTTATGTAGATTTGCTTCGACGAATTGATCATTAGCGAATTTATGTTAAAGTTATAATATTACGTAACGCATGCAGTTTTTACTATGTATTTACATTACAAAGGATTGATTACTATTACCTGATCATCTCATATTCAATAACATAACGACTTCTCATAACCACACCAATGCTTTTTAAAAAGAGCACCCCAATGCGTTTTCTTGAAGACGAGCACCCTTCACATGAGTCTATACAATTCATTATATTTCAAACCACGAAACTAGAAGTTTACAACTGTATTTATGTAGTATATACATACTAGCTTCAAAATGTTCCAGCAAATTGGTAATGCCTCAGAGAATAGTTCCCTTCCGCAGCGTCATACTTCTTCCAGCAAGTGTAATGTGACTGGAAGTATTTTTGAAAGCCACTTTACTATACTGGTCTTAGTACTCTCGTCGCATTTGCAGTAACTTGATCGGCATTCACAAATCTTCGTCCCTTCAGAAGCGTTTTCAACCGTGAGAAGAGAAAAAGATCTGGAGAGCCTGGCAAGGCAATCTTTTACAAACACTGATCGATGGAATGGTGCGTGATCGTGCGAAAGAAACCAGGACTTTTCCGGACGTGTTCTTTTACTGCGTCCCTGAGGTGACGAAGGATTTCCACATACAAATTTTCTGTTACAGTCCAATCTTCTGGAATAAAAGCATAGTGGACGAGACCCTACTTGTCAAAGAAAACGTCCGGCATATCTTTGTCTCTAATAGTGTTTTTAGAAATTTTTGTTTCCTAGAATATGTTTTGGACTTTCACTTCAATGACTATCGTTTGTGTTAAGGCGGAAAAGCAGGCCCTATGAACTGAACCTCGCCATTAATAAAGACATTATTATTATTATTATTATTATTATTATTATTATTATTGTTTAGACACCGAGTCGTACAAGTTGCACCAAGTTTCATCTCCAGAAATTATGTTTATCAAAAGATTATTATTTTCATAAATACTTATCAGATCACCAGCAAGAATCATTCTTGTTTCTTTATTTTCTGAAGAGAACATTTTGACACCAACTTTTGTGATATGCAACGCATGTTTAAATGTTTGGGAAGAATTGTGTCAACACTTCCAACTGAAATTCCGACCTCTGCCGGATTCTCCTTAACACTTTCTTCGGCCAATCCTCACCACAATGCGTAGTAACTCAATGTTTTCTTCATTTGTCGCAATTGTTGGTCGGGAGCTCCGAGGGTCGTCTTTCATGTTATTTCTACCTTCACTGAAACGTTTATACCAGATACAGACTTTTTTGATTGCTGCTGTTTCATATGCTTCTTCAAGCATTCTCACAGGCTCTGTCGGAGATTTGTGAAATAAAACAAAACTTTATGTTCGAGCGTTGCTCTCACGCCGACATTATCAAATATGAGAAACACGCACGAACAACAAAAGCTGGTTGCTACCCAAACATAATAGCCACTAGAATATGCAAATTCTACTGAAGTAACGTCATGAACGTTACCAAAATCTAATAAAGAAAAAATGGCTATCGAATACATTTTTAATGAATAATTATATATTCCGGGAACTTTCGGCAGATAGTAGTATATTTTCAGTCCGCGCAAGTGTATTAGCATTTGTCCTGACAGAGATATAACTCCATGTTGACATAGAGCATTGCAATAAATTTGAATTACTGGAGATTGGAATTATTATATTTCGATAGTGGTTCAACACCAGTGGAGCGGCTACGGTTTTCCACCAGCATTGCAATGACATTGTCGAGATATTTATTGCGACAGCAGTGATATTTATTCTGTACATCATGATCCAGATTTGCTAATATCGATAGGAACAGAAAAATTTATAATTATTTCGCACATTTTTGTATTTAACTTAGAAATTAAACATAATGGTTTCTATGTGTTACGGTATAAGACCTTCAAAAATATGTAAGATCTATAAGAAGGGAAAATGAACAAAATTGTGTCTGTAACTAGTTAAACATTAGAGAGATTAGATTTGTCAAAAAGAAAATGTCAATGATGTTCCGGTAAAGTTTAAATCAAGACATTGGTATCTAATATACAAAAAACTTTCAACCCTTCAGTAGAAGTCTTTAAGTTTTCATAACTTAAATATTGCACTTCTATTTCCATAGCAAAAGGGAAAGTGATGAGAAGAAAATGCAGGATATGTTTAGTTTGTTTTCCATTCACAACAAGAATACATTACGCATATTTCACTGAATTGCAATTAGGAACCAAATAATACGAAGATGAAGAAAACTTAATATGTTTCTTACGTAAATTTAAACAGTTATTAAATTAATATTTAAACTGTTCTAATAAATCGATATTGTTTTAATTTCTGCCTTTCCTTAGAATGGAATCTCTAGATCTATGTTGATGTAACTCCTCTACTTTCCCAAAATTCCGCAAAGTATTCAGAAAGCTAAGAAGAAGAATATCTTCAGTATAATAAGTACATATCTTAAAATAGAAGAAAATTCACACGTTTTGAGATCGCTTTTTAACAACTTGGTCATATAGCGCCTGCTGAGATTATTTTAACTGTGGGGGAACTGGAGAATGAAAACACGAACACACTCAAACATCCACGCCCCAGGCGGGATTTGAACCCGTGTCCCATCAAGCCTAGGCAGCAATGGTCCTTCAGCCGTAATGACCTCGGCTATCTAGGCCAGCACACATATTTTTGTTTGTATAATTACATCAAAAATTTTTTTATAATCATTTTTTATAATCGTGAATGCATGCATGCATGCATGCATGCTTACAGCGAAGGGATTCGATTACAGTGAACCAATGTCGCTCGCCGCGATTCACATTTATTACAAACACAAAAGTATTTGCTGGTAGTGAACTCTCTACATCGACTATGGTGAACACAGGAAATATATTCAGGAAAAAGTACGTCTCAGAGCCCCGAATTCCAATAAAACGAAAAGTTTGCAAGCTCTCGTGTATTATTTCAATTGCATTTACGGCCGATGAATTGGGTTGAGGTATTGAACCACTGAGGAATTTGAACTACGACAAGTCTGTCGAAGGTATGTAAAGTTGGCTTAGCAAAAAATAAAAATCAAAATACTGGAAATTAATTTAAAAAATTGTCGCTTTTTGGTTCTAATTTGTTAGGCCAAATATTTATCGCTCTTCTGTACCGATATATAATTTCTGCTCACTTGATATCAAGTTAAAGAAAAATAGCATTTTCAATATTTGTTGAAGAGCAATAACATGTTTGGCTACTATTTAGCAACAAAAAAGGCGATAGTGTCTTATGTAGTTATTTATTATTTATCTCTGTAATGGTTTGTTCGTAATTGTCAGGTTTCTTATTATGAAATTGGAGAATTTTTGCATTTTTTGTAATACTTTTGAAACGACGAATTCTTTTGGGGCAACTAATTAACAGGATAAATGCGACAATTTACCATTTAATTATTGTTATTTATTTCTGTAATATCATCTTTTTGTAAATGTAGGGCTAACTTAATATCAAGTGATTTTACAGCAAAATTCAGGTGTGTCAAGACTATTAAAAGTATTTGTGTGTGTGTAAACTCTCGATTCAAATGTTGAGAAAGAATGGGCTATAGAGAAGGTGCTGCAGAAAGGAATACAAAAAAAATATGCACAGAAAACAGTAACAAAATAATGGTTTTTTTATGGAATAATTCAAATTTTGAATTAGCTTGTATGAATAGTTTACATCTTGTCTGAACTGACAAGATCAATCACTGAGAAGAAATTATTTTATTTTCGGTTTATTAGATATCCAGAATCTTTAATATAGTGAGTCACAAACAAATTCCCAGAGGTTTACTATAATAGGAGTCGACGGTATTCTTGATCCGGCTCCAGTTGAGTAAGATCAGAGGTAGAATTACTTATGTCTCTGCAGTGACTGTGACTGGGAAGTCCTAGTGTACGAGTGTCGACAGAGGCGAATTTTCGTTAGGCGCTAGGTCGAATTCAGCTGCTGTCACTGCCGCTGAGGACGAGAAATCTAGCGGCGGATGCTCTGATCGGGAGTTTTCCGTGGTTTATCAATCAATAGCAGGCGAATATGGGGGCAGAACAACCAGGCCACGGACGGCGCGCAATTGCTTCTTCCTCTTCTTCGTACTCTGCTCGTACTGTTGCTCTGTTAATCAAACACACACACACACACACACACAAACTCACTCACGCACACAAACTCACGCACTTCCGCACACACACGCGCACACACACTTGCACACACACACGCACACTCTTTCTCTCTATCTTTCTCTCTCTCTATCTTTCTCTCTCTATATCTTTCTCTCTCTATATCTTTCTCTCTATCTTTCATTCACTCGTACATGCAATACTCTATCACGCATGCCGATAGCCGTGAACAGTCGGTAGCTTAGGGCTTGTCCCGGCTGACTCGGTGCCTCACTGGGGGGGAAATACCTAGAGAGGGGGCCTTTTCGGAGGGTTTGTGTAGGTCGGCGCCAATCTCGCCACCCCAACCGGGGTGGAACACCGCCAATCCCTGGATAAAACACTCACTACACTAACGAGACTATTGACCTTAGCAATTGATGCGCCCTGAAACGTCAATCAATCTTGCTCTGGCACTGAGAATTCCTGTCGGCCGTTGTACGTCACGTTCTGGATCACGTGGCCACTGGCCGTCCATGTGCGTGGGGCGGAAGGCCTTGGCGCACGAGAGGCGGCGCGTGGCGGCGGCGGCGGCGGCGGCGGCGCCCGTCAAGGGTGCGGATCCGCACCTGCCGATCGGCGACAAGGCCTGGGGCGCGGGCGGAGGACCCACTCGAGATAAAGCAGTATAAAATGCTCGCGAGCTGCTGTGCTTGGCACTTCTTGCAACCATGAAGATCGCCGTCGCCGCTTTGCTCGTCCTGGCCGCCGTCGCCGCTCAGGTAAGACCACCGCCACCGCCGTCACGCCGGTGAAACAAAACAAAAACGTTTGATGAGTTCTTGGATGTCCGGGTGACGCCGCGTCGTTTGCTGAGAGGCCGATGTTTCGCCTGTCATGTCGCAGGCTTCGGCACCTCTCTGAAGAAGCCTGCGATATGACAGGCGAAGCGTTGGACTCTCAGCCAACGGCGCGGCGTTACCCGGCCAGCCGAGAACTCGTGAGTTCAAGTCGCGGAAGCTTACGTGTACAAAAACGTTCCATGCCCAGAAGCTTCAACTTTTGAAGAACAAGTAAAATGGTTCTAAATTGTGGATACGAACAATTTTTGTTGGCATTAACGGTTGAAGGGCACTCTACAGATGTCATAGAGATCACTAATTTTTATGCGTGGAAAGTTGAATTTATATTTCAAGAACAGTTTCTCGCCGTTCACTAAATCTCGCAAAATATGACATCCAACCATTGTGTTTGCTCTATGTAATAGGATCACTGAGAAAAAATAACTGTTTGCACCCAACGTATTACTTTACACTGCGTACAGACTGAGAAAAACTACCCAAATAGGTATTCAGTTGCTGTAGCATTTATTGCATAACTTCAAACACAATTCATTTAATCAGGAATCTGCTCAATTTAATATTTCTCTTTTCATATAAAACGTTTATTCCAACTAAGCCAACTTTAATGGACGTAATAGATACTTTTGTCTCAGTGATCTGGAGCTAGGCAGCTGGCGTTTCGTATCGTGAAGGCGTGTCGGATAATAGGTGACGCGTTTTCATTATTGCGACGTAGGTAACATTTTCAAATTTGAAATAGAAAATCGGACTCTTCTTTTCAGTCTTTAAACATTTTTGATGCAGTACATAACATTATATTAATTTTTAAAATTTAATGAACTTAATGTGTTAAAATTCGGTTCTTTTATAATCAAAATATACGCGAAAAACATTTTACCAGAAAAAAAACCTCTAGAAGATGAGGCTGCACTTTGATACATGTAAAAAATCAAACATGATACATGATCACATGTACAAACATTAGTACAAGTGACAATTCGGCAGTGACTGGAAAGTCAGTATTCTTCTGAGTTCACAGCTATCTGCGAGTTAATGTATTTGCAACTAACTACTTTAATAAAAATCCAAACCGAAAAATTAACTTATTAAAGAATTGTTAATAAATTACCTTTACTACTTTTGAATATTTTGAGCAGATACACGTAATTTCCTACTTTTCTCGTCGCAATAATTTTCAAAAATAATTATAAAAATCACACTTTTAGTACAACAACACTGTCCAAACAATAATTTCATTAATGCTATGGGTATTAACGACGTTTTGCCACTTGTTGTCTCCAACTGGAATGCCAGCGTTTGCGTTCTGCTGCCGCAGGCGGTCGACGTGGAGCACTTGACCCATGTCATGCCCACAATGCCCGTGTACCCCGAGTACACCTGGGACCAGTGGCAGGAGATCATGGCCAATCAGGAGGTGAAGGAAGACCCCCTGGCCGAGTACCCCGGCACCGAGCCCCAGCCTGGTGAGTCCCCTGATGTCACCTTCCAGAGGTTAATGTCAACTAGAGACCATTTCTCTATCCGCTAAATGTTGTCAAATAAAAAAGTTCAACTGGATTTAAGACATTTTTTGCAGTTATAAAAATACTGCCGTCATTATGTAGTACATTCAGTAACTACGAAATATTTTTTATGGAATCCCTGTGGTGTTATCAAACCTACATTCTTAGGTAGGTATGTAGGCCCACCCGTCTTGTTTTGGAAGAGTGATATCCGAACCAAAAGAGAAAAAAATAATTTTTAGTCATATGCATTGCACCAACGTGTACAGTTCATATGGAATTGGAACATCGTGGAATATCAATATCGTATTTTGAAAATAATGCCTCGTTAAACAAATACATTATCTTACAGACTTGAAGATGGCATTTTGTTTTGTTTTTAAATACTAATGAACTCAATACAAGGTGTCATTACTTGTCAGAAATCCTGAATATATACAAAAGATTCCTTCTGATCCGTTAACATTTCTTATCTGTGTACCCAAGAACTCTGAAAGAACGTAACTGAGAATTATTTGACAATCGTTAATTTCTTATTGCAACTAGTCATTTGTATATCAAAGAATGTAAAATATTCAACATTTTCATTATTTATTGTACATATCGTATATAAGAATAGCTACTTAAAGTAAACAAGTCAAAGAGAAATTATATAAAACGAAAATACTTATTATTCCAATAAATATGAAAATAAAAAAATGTACACTTATATTACGCATACAAACTCTTATCCTTACGTGAATTTTGATTGCTTAAAATAAATGGAGACTACTAAATTTCGATGTTTCATATTCAAGCTGTTCCTGCGCTTAATAACTAACACCCAACGCATGACATGAAGGGGTTGGAGACGTTGTGTTGAGGGTGCTCTGTGTGCGACAGCTGACGCTGGCTTCGCGTACCCCCCGCTGGAGGCCGAGAGCCGCGTCATCGGAGGCACCGTGGCGTCCCAGGGCCAGATCCCGTGGCAGGCCGCCCTTGTCCTGGACGGCGCCGGCTTCTGCGGAGGCTCCCTCATCTCCTCCACCTACGTGCTCACCGCCGCCCACTGCACTGCTGGGTGAGTCGCACTCGCACTTAAGTTACAGTGCCATTTTGTTCGTTTACCAACATCAATAAGTTTTCTATTACTCTGGACTCAACTTTTCAAATGTTGCTCATCCCGCTTTTTTGTTCTTTCATTTATCATTCAACAAAAGGGTGAGGGAGGGATTCTGGAGCTTAAGAAAACTTGAAATAACTATACTTTTCTATACGTTATGTACAGTATTTTGGCAAAAATAATTCAAATCAGCCAAGGTTAAAACTATTTGAGAAACTAAGCGTATATGCTATTTGATAAAATAACTTATTATTGTCTTTGGGTGACTTACATAAAGTTAAATCTAAAAACAGAATTTCAAAAATCCCTGATTAAAAAATAAACATTTTAAAATAATTCTAATAACGATTATCTGAACTAATTTATATCCTAAAATATATTTTAATTGTAAGAATTTAGTTTCTAAAATGGTAATCCATGAAGTATTAAAAATGGTGAACGCCCTAGAACATTTTATGACCAAGTGAATCGTATCTTGACCTTTTTTAGCACATTAGCGTCACAACATTTATACGTATTCACATACATTAATTATATTTGTGAAAATCGTTTATATTAAACTGTTTTCACAAATTTCGATATCTTCTTGTCGACTTTTCACGCGAAGTAATTCATCTGCACACTCGACAGATACCAATATTTGTTCACATTTTTATTGGGATTCCATCTTTCCAAAAATGAGAACTACAAATATGTGAGATTTGTCTGTCAAAGGACAGTGAATATTTTGGAGTTCAGAAATATATAAACATTTTCATCGTGTTCAAAAAAAATAGAAAAAAAGAAAAGATTAAGCCCTGCTCAGTAGAACTCATTGTGAGATCCAAAACTGTTCTACCTTCAGCATCTAAATAAGAAAATCAGTTACAATTCCTGCTTCTTCCTGGGTCTCTAGATCATGCTCCAGGCTAGGTAGAAGTTGTAAAGAAAGTTCAGTCGCCATTGAACTCTAAGACTGCCAGCAAAGAAATAACGCAAGTAGTCGTATTTGACACACTTAAGATACAAATGTCTATTGTGTTTAACTTAGGCAGAGAGCCATGAGCCCGTGGTAATTGTTCTTTTTCGGCTTTGCAGCATCACCTCCTTCCAGGTGACCCTCGGCGCCTCCAACATCCAAACCTCCCAGACTGGCACGGTTGTCCAGACCACCCGCAACAAGATTCAGCACGCCAGCTACAACCCCAGCACCATCAACAACGACATCGCCCTGCTGCGCCTCAGCACCGCCGTCTCCTCCACCAGTAAGTGCCAGCATCACCCGCATTCCCTTCCCAAATTAACGCCTTCGGTCTTACAATTCATAAAAAAGTTTCCTCGTACTAAAGAAAAGAATCAACCAGTCATGGAAATGAACGAGGTAGATGGTACCCATTAAGCGTTTATTAAAAGCAACTTTTCAAAATAATCAAAATTTGATTATTTTTCGTTGGAACGTTGTTTATATGGAACGTTTCTCACTTGGCAGTTTTACTTCATGTAAATAAAGAAATACGTATGGAAAATATGAACATACAAATTAAAGAAATAAAAATTCCAAATAAGGAAACATTGTTTCCAGAATGTTTAACTTCTTTATAGTAACTAAAGAAATATTTATTTCAAACATTTGTTTTAGGAATCTTGCACATTATTTTCTATCTTGTTTTTGCTCAAATGCAACTTTCTTTCTCTTCCAAGACGCATGTACTCTGATTTTCTGTTCTCTGTGAGACCGATGTTTTATATTCCGTGATTCGTGTTTCCCCAGGCTACATCCGCACCATCCGCCTGCCCCGCAGCTCCCAGGCCAGCAACACCTTCCAGGGCAGCACTGCCATCGTGAGCGGTTTCGGTCGCACCTCCGGTGAGTTGAATTCGCGCGCGGAATCCGCGCACCCGGCGAAGGCACGGAGAAGGGACACGGCCGCACTGATTGCCGTCTCAAAAACATTGACTTTCAAACTTTGCGACAGACAGACTCGGCAAAAAAAGGCTGCACTGAATGCCGTCCCAAAAACATTTACCTCCTAACTTTTCGACAGTCTGCAAGGGTAAAAAAATATGTTACTGAATGCCGTCAAAACTGTTACTTCCTAACTTCTTCCTAACTTTTCAACATGCAGCCTCGGCTCCCAAAAATATAAATTTCTTGTAAGAAAGTACGCAGGAAAACCAATGACACAGGCACAACACATTTCTGGTCGTGAGTTTATCTTGCCTTGGACTATTTGATGATTTCTGAACAGCGCTAGTAGGCGTAAATGACTCAACAGCGCCTGCGCAATGTCTGCCTTCTCGTGTATCTCGCCCGCAGTTTAGGCTGCGGGCACACGCGAGTGTTACGTGACGGACGTTACAACGTCCGTAATTTCACGGAAGTCAGTGCTCTACGCACCCAGGCAGAGCACAACGAACGACGCGCGGCGCACTCGTGAACCATACTCCATTTCTGTCTGTAAACATTGCAACGGACGCATTTCGCCCTTCGTTAAAGTTCGCTCGTGTGGACCTTATCGGTCGTTGTGTGCACAGTTAATCTTGTGTGAACTCTTACCATCCCACCTGTTTCGCGTCTCCAGTCACACTTCGGTAGCGCGGAAACTAATGCAGCTGCGCAGATTGTGTGCAACTGAGCCCTTTGATTGACTGGGGAAAATGTCTCTTTACTACAGTTTCACATGAAATAAGCTGAATCTTGAAAATAAAAAGATTTCCTAATTATGGGAATGAGATGAAACATTATTAAGATTATGATTCTTGTATAGCGAAAGCGTACACAGCATGCTTTCATTCAGCATTCAGAGGAAGTTATTATTACAAATTAACTGATAACATGTCAAGTAAGCTTAGAATCAGAATCAAAGGATATTTCGCTGACCGGGAGACCGATTTCTAGATACAGAGACTTGATCATTATACTGCGACCTTCTTTAAGACGAAATACGTGGAGGTGGGCTCGACATCATTGCCCAGCCCTGAAGGTATTCGCAATATGACTTCCAAAACGTTGACGCCATGTCTCCCAGCATTTATTCTATTTTTATCTATTAATTTCGGCGTAAAGAATGCTCATAATATAAAACGTTTCTTAAGGAGGGCGGGATGGGCAGAACTCTATAAGTATGAGACATTTAGTCGAAAGTGTCTTCCCTCACTATTACATGATAACTTTGCGTTCTACGTTAAAATGCAGTAAAATACACTCTGTTCACTACTCTTTTACAACCCTTTTCGCTTAAAGCAGCTTTAGTCGACTCATACTATATTGATGATTCAATCATACGTAGTGGATTTAAGTTGACTAAAGCGCCGTTTGTCGCTGCAGGCACCAGCGGCATCAGCCCCAGCCTGCGTTATGCCTCCCTGACCGTCATCAGCAACACCAACTGTGCTCTGTACTTCGGCAACTCCATCAACTCCTACAAGGTCTGCACCACCGGCGCCAGCGGTCGCAGTCCCTGCAATGTAAGTGCCTTTGACTCTTACTCGGGGTATATATAGATCCATTAAGTGAAGAAATTCCAATCTGGCGTAAACTAGAACCCGGTCTCTTAGATCAAAATTCCTATTATAGTATTCTCAAGCAGCGAAAAGCTTTCGGGCATTTTCGCTTCACTCTAAAACGACAGATTCGAGCTTTTCAAGACTTTTTGTTTTTCGATTAAGGTAAAAGCATCATTAGTGGCCATGGTTAAGAACAATTTTTAAAATTCGTGAGCTGCAATTCTAAATTCATAATGTGTTTTTCAGAAGGAGATAAGCAAAACTCTTTCTGCATGAAAATTGCCAATTTTGAATTTTCAAATATTTTGTATTATTTTATTTTCTATTCCCTATTTTGATCAAGTTGTTGCAATTTCAATTTTTTTTTTAAAATGGGTAATTTTCAGAGATTTAACCCAGTAAATACCATTTTATAATCTAACCTCTGAAAGAGTTTAAGACTCTTAAAGTTTAAAACAGTATCAATTCGTGTTACACTATTGCAATGCAAATATTAATAAGATATTGTCAGCTTTTTATTTAAATATAAAATAAGGAAAAGAAATATATTATGTTAGTTCTACACCTCGTCACTAGAAGGCATACGTTCCACTTTCTACAAGTTTCAAACAAATAAGAAGTCCACACTTTTATTTTTGTTGTGGCCTCCCGTGTTTTTACCCTAATGACGTCCGCTTTCCTTGTGATTTGCAGGGTGACTCTGGCGGCCCCCTCTTCATCACCGACAGCGACGGCTCCTACACCCAGATCGGCCTGGTGTCTTTCGGCTCCAACGGCTGCCTGGCCTCCTACCCGGCCGTCTTCACCCGCCTCACCTCCTACCTCAGCTGGATTTCCTCCAACACCGGCATCGCCATCCAGGCCTAAGCTCTCGAACGACGCAATGGCTAATAAACTCGCTGTCCAGAGGGTAACTCTGGCCGCATAAGCTTAACATATAGTCTTTGTCATGCATCACCTCTTCTTGGATCACACATCCCTTGCTCGTGCTGCTTCCTTTACATGAACAAATACTTCACTCCCACATTTTACACGACACGCAATGAACGAGCTTCCGAGAGTTTCCCTGGTGGTGAAAAATTAACTGAGGTCTTTATGGGTAACCTCTTGTTGGATACATGGCTCAAGGACTTCAACATAAATTATGTTAATTATGTTAAATTATGTATAACTCGAAAAACATAAATTATGAGTAATTAATCTGATTTATAAACATTTAGTGTAACGAGTGAGAGGACTTAGGTATTCTCACTGTTTTTGGTCCTTGGAAACTGAGAAGAGTAGTTAACAGCATTATGATACATCAACATTGACAAGAAAAAAGTTATTCCGTTATTTTCACAAAAATAGTTTCCAAAAGCTAAACCATACCTTGGCGGTAATGAAAACAAGAAACACTGTGGCGAAATGGACCGCTAAAAGTCTTTAAGCATAAAAAGAATGAGCTTCAGAGCAACATTAAAAAAACATGTAGGATTGCCCTTTGCACGGAGTACGGGCCCGTAGCCTGGCTGACATGGATTTCACGAGTTTTGCCGTTTGTTGTGTATTGTTTTCCCACACACAAAAGCTGTTTACAATAGCATGTGCAGCTGATGACGGAATTCCAGTCTATCGTGATATCCCCGTGTCTATGGGCCCTTCTTGCGACAATAAATTTCCCCTTTGCATTCTTCAACAGAAAATTCCTTCATCCGAATCATTTCAGTGTTTCCTTCACTGCAAAGCTCAGGTGGCAACTGACAGGGAGGCGGGCGACAATTATACGCGGGCGGTATTTTAAAGAATTATGAAAACCAGTTATTTCCCCATTTTCTACTACAATGTAGAATAATAAACATTCACTTCCAAATATTCAAGGACGTTTGCGCCCCTTTACAAATGTTCTGTGTTCCTTGTTATCATTAATAGCGATGTATTGGTTTAGCTTTTTGAAACTAATTTTGAGAAAATAAAAGAAGATGTTTTGCTATCACGATTGTTGTATCTCATTTGAAATTAAATTGAAACATTTTCCGCGAAACTGGTATGCATGTAGACGTTCACCCATTATACTACTTCATGTAATTAGTCAGTGCTAAGTTTTGAGTGAAACACTAATCACGGATAATTCTCTGGAGCTGATACATTTTTCCGCCTTCTTAAAGTCTATTCTTCTTAATTTGATCTCATTCTTCACTTGTATTTGACTTAAAAATCCAGCTACCGTTATAAATGTTGCTTTGCCAACACGGCATATTATTATTTTTTCCGTTGAGTGTGTTCTGTAGTGTTTGGTGAAATTGCCTTTGCGAATAAGACCAATAGAACAAATGCTACACAGATATGGCCAAACATCCAAACGTTGCTCAGTTTTTCTTTGCTATGAGAAGATTTAGACCGTGGTAAACTTGGTATTTTTTCTACAGTTTATTCTGTTCGTCAGGATTTGTTTTTTTAATCAAACTCCAAAAGCATATGTTACAACAAAATAAATAAACAGTTGGATTGTTCTATTTAACTGTAGACCTTCAACGGAAAAATTAGATTCAATTTGATAAAATGATATTCCATTACACAAACGCTATATTCTATTTCATTCAATTAACACAAACTTTTCAGATTACCGTCATTTACTAGGTATAATGTAATATTCGCTTTTCACTAAACCAAGTTTATTTAGTAAATGTCATTCCATATAGTTTGAAACATTTGTAAATAAGTTTCCAAGGCACTCTTGAAATGAGCATCTATTTGACTTCCATCAACATGTATACTCAATATATGAATAAATGAAGGTTCGACACAATAAGAGATTACGTATTGACAGTAGATAGAGGCAACGCACACGATACAAAATAACACATTTCATTTCAATTTTTAACCTCCATCTCACTTTACTGACATAAACTATTCGTGGGATCAAAATGCAGGTATTTTAAGGCTTGGGTGCGGATTAGATTAATATGGCTCTTAAAATGGTTGGCAAATAAAATATTTTCCAACATGATATACTTCCAGAATTACAAATTGTTTTACAAATATTTGTCTTAAGATTTTTAATTTACTGTATACTTTGTTCATTACTCACGATCCCAATGTATCTATTCATTCTTAAGATATTCCACAAAGGTACTAATTTGCAAAGTCTATTTATTGCACTCTACTCATCATCAATTAAATTTTTTAACTGATTTTGAATATAAACTTTTCAAAAACTCTTAGACACTGGATATAAGAAATCTTAATCAGGAACATCTGAACAAATAAATAAACGCAGGATCCGGCGTTAGCTTTTATAACCATGATTCTCGGTGTTTTTATATTTGACAATTGCTTATATTCATTCTGTTCTAAGAGAACAATTGGTTAAGAATACATTATAACACGTGATTTGATAATTTCCCCATTTGATTTTTAGAAACAAAATGTTAGAAATTTTACATGCTAGTGCAAATTTGGAATGCAAATTTTGAAGGACTGAGAACAAAAAATATTTCACACAATATGATAGATGTCCAATCCATATTTTTCATTTTCTCGGCGATTTATTAAACCACTGTCTTTGAATGTATCTTGATTTGTAGAACCCAATTGGAAGCACTTCTTTTCAATCTTTTGTGTGCCAGCAACATGAGTCAGCACGTCACATGGGACAGTAATTATACTCTGAGCAGGTGCTTCTACTCGTGCAAGATAACGCCTACCAGCTAACGTTTTTTCCTTTTTAGAAACCATTGTTTTGCTAACTTCTTGAGATTCTTACATATTTTAAGAATTGTATTAGAGTCAAAAACATCATTAACAACTTTTTTACTACTTCATTAACAACACTACATCATTAAATAGTTTTATTGATTAAGAAATAATTAATTGCAAAATCAGAATACGTCGAAGTCAACTTCAATCCTATGTCTTTACTGCTTCAAATAATTTATCTGAATGAGCACTACCTTTCATAAGATTGTTTTTCTAGTTGTACTGCTTCACGCGCCCACCCAAACGTTAGCGCATGAAAAATGCAAACATTTAATTTAAATTATTTTTATTTAGATTTAACATTTAGATTTAAATTAATTCATAGCGCATTACGCCCTGAGGAAGATCGCAGAATAGCGACCGAAACGTCGGCACCTTTGCCATGGACGCGGCGTCACCTGGGCAGCCAATTAAATACTGACTCCGGCCGCGGAACCCTACGCTCTCATTTAGATTTAAAATTATCGTAATTGGTAGAAATGGAAGTGACAGTGAGAAACCATTCCTTGGTATTTGTTATGTAGACAAATGGCAGAAAATAAGGGTACGTTTTGTTGTAGTTTTGACATTTAGTTTATAAAAGTTTTGAGATCACATAACATGAATATTAGGTTTGGCAATACGATGGCCGGAAAACACATAATAAATAAACAATAAGCGAACAATATGGAAAGTCAGTTATTGTCATCAAATCAGTTATTGTAAATAACTAAAAAGTAATCCTTTTTTCGACAATGATATTTATGACTCAAACACGTAATATACTAAGGTTATTTCACTTTGTGTGAATAAAATTTAAAACTATCCATTATTCTGTAATATTGATCTGATATGAAACGAAAGGATAAAATTGCCTACATATTATGTATTCGAGGTTTCTTCTACGATCAATGTATTAACATCTAGTGTATAAAAATATGCCAGAAATATGAAAATAGCACTCTTCTTACTCACTCCCACACTAACTCCTGTAATTTACACGCAATAAAGTTATATGCAAATAAAACCTGCGCACATTCAATCATTTTACATCTTAATTGTAAAAAGCAGGGTGTTAATTAACAATGTGAAAAAGAAAAACTAATAATTTGGAAATCTAGTGCGAAGAATTGAAACCCTCCAGGTCATAAAAAAATTAGCAACATGTTACTAAAAACCCAGCCCACATCCGCAGTCGCATTTACATAAGTAACATCTATAATTCGTCAGTCACAACTGGCCATTTCCTTATAATTGAGCAAATGCAAACATATGTTTAATTTCTAAAGCAAACAAAATTCATAGATCGTAAGGAAACTATCTTCTGCCAACCCTTTAAAAATAACTCTAACAATTAATGTTAAAAATACTAAGTAAATATCTAACAAGACAATACTCATTAGAAATTATCAACTTGGTTTTAGAAACCAAACATAAACTGCTCACAATCTCTTAAGGATAATCGAACTTACCTACAGCCTAAAGAAAGACAATATACAATAGTAATATTTTTAAAAGTGTCCCAAGCTTTTCATAAGAGTTTGGCACCCCGAATTAATCATTAAACTTAAAGCAATAGGAACATCTAAATATTTACAAGATATCACTCAATTTATAAAAGACAGATCCTTCATATACTCTAACAATAAATAATCATAGTTCCAACCCACAAAAAAAAAAAAGAAGCAGGGTAGACACAAGGCTCACCATTATCTCCAAAACTATTTAATGTTTAGACTGCGGTCATTCCCATCTCCTACTCTCTCTCTCTCTCTCTCTCTCTCTCTCTCTCTCTCTCTCTCTCTCACACACACACACACACACACACGATATTGCTGCATTTATGTTCAGTCGCACCCTAAAAACCATAGTACAAAGGTCCAACAAAGTGCACTCTGTACCCAACTTCCTTCAATTAATACGCTTATGACCTTGCCCTATTTGCCATAATCTGAGAAATTTTACATAAAGAACTTTAGAGTATAATGACCTTACAACTTTTCGCCGATTACTGATATGAGTTTTCTTCTTGTTGACATTGGATCAATAGAAGTGAGTGCACTCGAGATACCGTGGAATCATTCGCAAGCGGTGCTTCAGCTGCCATGAAGGTCTTCATTGCTCTTCTATTGCTTTTAGCAAGTGGC